CATAAATGTTGTGAAGGCGAAGTCGGCGTCCAAACGATCCAATACCTGAGTTCGTAACCTACGTACAGTCCTATTTTGAATGCTTGTGATGGCGTCCATCTATATCTAAGGAATATTTTAACCTCCGTTTGCGGTACCCAACACAGCAGCAGTAAGGGAATCATCGCGCGGGTAATACCCACTGCCGACGCACGTACGTGAGCGCGGGGAATACCCGTGTAATTCCGGGGGGTGGCCGCGAGTCCCCCTTACTGCTGCTTATGTGTTCTGGGGTCATATAAACATGGAGCCTGTGGAAGCAGTGCAGAGAATCGTCAACGACATAAAAGATAAGAGAGACACCATTGAAATGCAAAGGGAGGAGATCGATCGCCTTAAAGAGCGCGTGCAGGAGTTGTACGATGAAATGTGTGGTCTGAAGCGCGCGGAAAGGTTCGGTGCGCTGATAACGATGGCGGGCTGGGCAAAGGAGTCCGTAAAGGATTTCRTGCGGTATCCCTTATAAGGGCTATTAAATCCTTATTATATATGGAGTGTGAGCGGTGTAACAAGGAGTTCAGCAGCAAGCAAATGTTAAAATACCACCTGGAAAAGAAGGTATGCGTTAAGAAGGCACGCGAAACGCGCTGCAAGGAATGTAATCACCTCTTTAGCAGCGCGCAGATGTTGGATTACCACGTCGATAACCGTGTTTGTTTGAAGAACATCTGTGAGCGCTGTGAGGATGATAAGAACGAAGAGTGGCACCGACATCGATGTCGCGGTAATTACGACTTAAAAGGCGTAGCATGTTCGAAACATGGTGACGTCGCGGCTAAGTGTTGTCCGCGCGAAACTAAGCGGCTGTTAACGCAGCGTAAAAAAGAAATTGATCAGCGCTTTGTGGAGTTTGACCACGCGGAAGGAGTGCGGTGGGAGAACCAGGATCATTGGGAGGCAAATTGCGAGCATTGCGGCTGTCCAAGGAAAGGTGACGATCATATTTGGTAGTGCTTGTATCCGCGGTTTAATCCCCGCACCTTTAAGGAGTACTTAGATGCGTTCCAAAGTTGGAGTGATAATAACTCAAAAGATAAGATCGCTCGTAAGGATTAGTAAGGAAGTTAGGTCAGGGTTCGCGCAAAGAGTCTCAAATCCTGATCTTATTTTTATTTATTATCATTAAGGTTAAATAATAATAAATAAGAATAAGGAAAGCTGTAATTATATGCATTAGAGGCTCCCGCACTCCTTTTTATAAGAACAACGAAAATGACTTTCTATTGGACTTTAGCATTAATACTAACCTTGCCGATATTAGATAATTTTAGA